TAGAGCTGTTCAACTGCCCCTGGAAACGGAGCGACTGAGCAACCCCGGAGTCCGATTGGCTGCATTGCACGATTGCATTCGGTGAAGAGCAGTTTGTTTCAAATTCAGTTCGCTCGTCCATAGATCGATGAGGCACTGCTTCCGGATCGGAACTCTCCGGAGCGTGCAGACGCATGATCGACGAGTGTAGACCGGAACGTCGAACACGTTCTTCCATCCGAGCTAGTTGCCTTTGCAGTCGGGGCAGACTTGAACTGGTCGGGTGAAATGTGATCGTGTGTCGAAGCATTTCGACCGGACTGGAACAGGCAAAACCGCACGACTCACACACACGGACCACTTCACGTCGTTGATTACGGGAATAGTTCAGGTGCACTTTGTGAATTTTGCGTCGATGACCCTCGAGCGAGCAACGTTGACTGAACGAACGACTACATTCCGGGCATACGTAAGGACGAACCACTGTTTGCAATAGCCAGAACAGATTGATGATGGGCGGGGGGGGGGCGTCGAAAAGAAAGAAGAAAATATAAGCATTAGTAAAGAACGGGTGTGAGCTCTATATTATGCAGTGTTTGTCGTAAAATCGAAAGCATCCCCAGGATTATGGTACCATCCTTCGAGCTCGTTAAATGAGAAGCGAATCGGGTAGAAAGTAATCGGACGTGGTCACTGTTGTAAATTTCATCTTTCCTTTTAATACTGATTGTGCTACAGAGTCGCCTTCCAGAACATTCTCTCCATAAAAGATGAAATTTCTAGAAGTAGAATATCTTTTATGTAGTTAGGCCTTTTTAAACAATCCCAGACTCCAAGAAGTTCCCACAGAGTTATCTAGCATAAATGTTATCGCTTAGATATCAGGTAAAACTCGCCAAACCAATGTGTAAACACACTACTTATATACCACACAAAAGTATTCATACAGCACATCACTGAAAGTTTTAGTTCTTGTGTTAAAAAATGGAAAACTTCATGACAACATATATTCTACGAAAAATATTTGTATAATGACTATAGTATACAGCTTTGCACTCGTGTTGTTGTCAGGAGCTTGTTCTTTTATTATTACTAAAGATACGACAACTAAATTCTAGTACTGCTCGCAGATGTAATCTGATACAGCTTATTCAGAACATGATTGATAAACCCTGGAGGGTGTCTGTAGTGAACAGGTCCTCAGTTATTCGCTCATTTTTCGTTGAAATTCGAGGACCAGCGAAAAAATCCTGGTAGTTGTGAAAGTTGGAGCGCGCAACTGGATGTAGTTCCGACTCAACTGCAACTTCAAGTCAGTGTTCAAGAGAATTAACTTTATGACGATCAATTTGGCTAACTAGCAAAAATGTGATAAATTTTGAAATTGCCCTGCCCCAATGAAACTGACGCATTTCCAAACGCCCACGGGAATGTATTCAGTTTTCTTATTAACAATAACTTAGTTTTATGTATTACCTGATATTTTGTTTTAGGGGATATTGTATATTGGTACGATGGCGAATTCATAAATTCAAAAGTCACTCATCATACATGCGTAGCATTAAGTAGTGGATTCCAGTTGAGTCAGGTTCGGTCACTCGAATCTGCAGGCTCAAGGAAAACCTCACGGTCCAACGGTAGAATCGAACAGGCAAGAGCATTGTGTCGTTGAGTTGGTTGTATTGTATTGTTATATTGTATTGCAAATAGTTATTTCCCATCGATCTAAGTGACAGTGCATGACAAGCTCAGATTCTGCTTCGCTTACAGCAAATCACCTCATTCCACGAGAGAATAGCCAGTAGCAGAGCTGGAATACAGGATACGCCAAATGATTGACTTACATGTGTGTTTTCGCGTGTGACGTTTCATGTCATACTTGTCATTGAATCCCTTCAAACACCGGACGCACAGATTGAATTTGCTTGCACTGTGCGAGAGCAGGTGTTGTTGCATTGGTCTCAGACGCGATGTGGTACGATTGCAACCTTTGCACAGATAACCCCCGTCGTCGGTCTTTATGCCTGGAATAGTGTGGGTGTATGATAAAAGAAAGAAAGAAAAGGACGAAATGAGATCGATTTACATATTTCCGCTGTGTGGTCTCGATCTCCACCTCCCATACGTTTGTGAGAATCGAACCAGAAAAACACAAAGCTATCCAATGAACTTTGGTCGCATCGAGCACAACTGTAAGAAGTCACCCACTCCAAATACCAATAATATTAATAATAGTGATAATAGCTATACTGCGAGTGCCCTTCATTAGCGACGTTGAGTGCTTATTTCCCCATTAAATCTTTCTTAAGGCGGATTAGTGTATGCGTGTGAGAGGCAGAAAGAGGAAGCAAAATGTGGAAGCTATTGACTGTATAAGCTAGTTAAAGATGGTAAAACCACATGGGGGCCATTTTCTATACCTTGCGGTTATTTGCGTCACTAGCAATTATTCGGTTATCCTCGATCAAATTCCGGTCAACTTTCCCATCATCAAACTCGCGAACCCCTAGTGAGCGGGTGTTTGTGTGCTCACGTTTGGCGGCGAGGAATGGTGTGTGTGTATGTGCGTGTGGCGCGGGGGGAGTGGAAAATATCGGGATGACATGGATTGCATACTAGCATAAAGTAAGCAGCATAGTCCGTCAGGCAGGAGTAGGCAAATCCTGATCCCCCTCTCTCATGGACTGTTGATCAGATGAAGATCATAAATTCATTTTTGAATTATTTGTCCTAGCAACACACGTTAGCTTCACCCATTGTGCTACTCAAGGGAAGTTTTTCACTCTATGCCGGTCCGCAATTCGATGTTCACGGTTCGTCGAATTGGTGCTGTCGGTTCATAAGATATGCGCTAATCCCCAGAGGGTGCTTGAGAATCAGCCCAAGTGATAAGATGAAGCTGGAGCGCTTTTTAACTCTCATTATCTCCGTAGGTGTTAGTTGGTACCATAGTGATCGCAAAAATCACGCTTTATTGTGGGGTAGGGAGAGGGGGACTGCNGGGGTTGTTGATACCGCGATCCATGTGGTGCGTATGTCAGTTGATTTCAGTTCGGTATGATGCAGTGGAGGACTGCTGTCGAAGCGAGAAACTGATCAAGCTCCCGAAACGAAGAAATCAAACTACGAACGGGAGTGGTATGCACCAATTAAAAATGACTATATCATTGCAGTCACACAAAGGAACTTGAGATCAACCTCTTTATCTCTCGCTTTAGGTCTGTTTTACTACCGTTGCATCAGAGACCTTTGATATACTCAATGGAATAAGGCATTCTCCAAGGTCAATGAAACTATATGTTGACGAAGCGACTGTGATAAAGAGCAGATTCTGGTGAAAGCGAATGTAAAACTCACAGAGTAGATTTGTCAAATAAGTCAACTGAATTTTCCGATCCACGGCAAACGGATTTCGGATTGCGGCTCCATCATTCACGTAGCGTAGACGAGGATCGTTACGGGCAAGCATGGCCTGAATGAAAAATTGGATTACGAAATGAGTTATCGGACTGGCATGCTGGGTGAATAGATTGGAAATTTGATAAGATGACCCGCTGCTCCGAGATATAATCCGAACTATGGGTTTAGAAAACGAATTTGTAAATCCAGTGTCAGGACCATTAGCAGACGTCAATCGGGGATCGTTTGTCCTGCACTGGTTGTATTATGTTTACTCGGAAACTAAGCTCCCAGTGCAACTGTTCATAAGGTTTGTGCACTTCCACAGGAATCTATCCAGAATAAAGATGTTCACATTGCTTTTGTGCTCCTGACTTAATTCAATTTCATGTGTTTTATCTAGAGAATAAATAATTTGTAAGAGTATTAATGAGATTTTGCAAAAAATACAAATTAGACGGACTGTGGTGAGATTGAAAATCAGTCCGCATCAGGTGATGTGGGGTATGTGGTGTATGTGTCGATTACAAGTCTGCTGTCATCGAGCCTCAGGTTGCGAGATCTGACAATAATCCTAATCAGCTATGGCGTTGTTCTTTTCGAGCCCATGTTCATTGGGTCGCCCGTGTGTGTGTGTGCAACTTCGCGACTATGGTAGACCAACACAGTGCTCTTAACAATCGGTACTTCCCTTCTGTTAGCTTTATGAAGCAAGTTCAGAGAAGTACAAGTAAACCGGTCAGTGACGCGCGCGAGTGCGCGTTTCCGACCGGGGACAATCAGACCCCTGGGGATTGGTGGGACGAGGGGGGTGGGTCCCGTTGTAAACGACTTGATGCAAATTAATGCTGCTCCATGGAATTCTCTGTTCAAATAATTTTGCACCCACCAATCCACTGGTCCAAATCCGACATTATTGTTAGCCAGACAGTCAGTTGGAGAATTAAGTCCTCCACTTCCTGCAGAACTTCGAGATTAGTGATGGGTGCTTTGTCAGTGTTTTGTCAAATCATTTCGATCGGTGCGGATTAGATCACTTTTGACTGTTCGTCATCCATCTGTTACCTGAATCAACAGTCTAAGTCTAACTTGATCATTGCCAAACCGGTTCAGCCTGTGGGGTATGCTGTATGCTCTGAGTAAAACAGTGTATCCTGAACGGAAATTACAACAGATATCAGGCTAGAAAACATCAATCTGTTTTTTAAAATGCATCTTTCATAGAGTACCACTTATTCGAAGCATCAATCTGGGACTGTATCCTCAAAGCTTCCCGTACTTCAATCGAGTTAGTGATTCCCTCACCCCTCCCATCAGTTCCAAACTTTTATCTCTGAAGTAAGTTCACTCTCTCATACATACATCTCGGGTTAATCGCTGTCCATAGCATAGATTATATACTCACATAATCTGCTTCAAGGCGGACTCCTGTATCGATAATTCGAGTATTCTTGATTCCCATAAAGGCAACAAAGAGGTATGTTTGCACACTACTTGTGAACTGGTCGCTTGCGAGATTCTGCAGAATCTCAAGTACGGTTTCATATCATGTCTCAGTATGTCACTTGATTTGAATATCATCATCATCATACAGTGAAATACAGTGAAGCGATATTCACTGATCGCTGTCAACCTCGCAATGCATACAAGGTTGGTGATAAAATTGAAGATGGACAGGGATTGGACTTACAAAGAGGAAGGAAAGCGAACCTCTATGATCAGCACACAAAGTGCACAATCAAACCCTGCATACATACCGTTTCAAGCATTCTGGCCTGATAAGAAATGACAACAAGAACGCCATTGTTGTCGTTTAGCTGTTGTATCCTTCAATGTTTCCAACCAACCAGTTGTGGAGCCTTTCGGGCTCCAATTTGTAAGGCACGAAACTTGAATGGCTCACCATCATACTTTCGCGTATGATATGCTATGGAAATTCCCTTATTAAATATGAAACGCTTCTACCACCGATGCAACCTCATGTGTAGGGAACACACATGCATTATGGTAAGTTCATTTCGGTCTGACTTACTCGGATCTGATTTTTACTGTCAGCCGGTTCCGGATAGTACAAAATGATGGGACCTTTGCCCGGGGCATCCTCCTCCGACAAATCAGTGGACAGTAGACGACTTCGACCGGATTCACTGGAAGTGGTATCCGTAACTGACCGATCAGGTTCAAATCGATGACCACTGGATTTATCTGGTCGATGCTCGGGTAATCCTTTATCATGACCTAAGATCTTCATCCGCCCAGTGATCGGTGTGATATTCGGGATGGGATGACAGGATGACGCATTACGGACTACCATTCGGTCACAATGATCCATCGGCGTGTGCGAATGAGAACGCATAGGATGGTGATGATGTTGATGATATTGTTGTTTATACGGATGATATCCACGTGACCCGATATCCACAGGCCACGATCTCATGGGTCGTTGAAATGTGGGTTGTGGTGGTGTGGGGATGGGAGGCGATTGTAACGATTCGATTTTGACTAGCTGTTGTATCGGATGGAATGAAACGGGCTCAGTTTGGGATGGGAAGTGATTGAGCAACTCTGCGGGATTATTACTTTTTTGGTTTAAATATTGGAACAGGGCATTCATAGCCTGGAACAGACTCAGTGCTGCATCAGGACTCAATGTGGAGGTGGGGGTTGAAAAAGGTAGTGATGTTGGTGGTGGTGGCGCCAGTGGAGGTAGTGATGGTATTAGTTTGCAGTCACTGAGTAGCGGTGGCTGTTCTGTGGGGATACAACCAAAACTGTCCGGTTTGATGGGCTGTACGGTAGCACTGAGCAGTTGTTGAACATTGAACTCTGGCCGTTGTAGGCCAAACGTATCCGAGATCTGTGCTGTATGTATGACTGGTTCCGATGAAACTGGAATCGGTGAAACAGAACGTTTGCATCGGTTTACACGTAGATCCAGTGCGATTGGAATTGCAGGCCATCGATTCATATCGAAATCTGTTGATACGGTAGACGAGGTCTGGCCAATGTATTCATCGGAGGGTGGCGAAAAAGACATTGCGGGTGGTGGACTACTGCTTGAGTACAGTGTGCTTGTGGTGTCCGGTTGTTTCGGGTGCGTTTG